AAAAGCTTTTTTTCCTCATGTTGTTTTTCAGTTAAAACTAGAAATCGTGGCTGACCTTTTAAAACTGTTTTCTTGCTAAATTTGTTTCTTAATGGACAGATAATCTGTGAATCACTGGAAGGAGACTTTAAAACTCTGAAAAGTTTTGATTTTAAGTCTACTGACTGAAATTTTTGCCCATTTTTCCTTTCAGGATAGCTCAAACATTTTTACTTTGGCAGGAACGTCACTGTGAACATAAATATATTTTTTTTTTATCTTAACTACTGCACCGTGGCTCTGAATTTATGTGTGATGTCATTATTCTGCTGGAAGGTGAAACTCACCACAGTCTCAAGGTTTTTATTTCTATAACTCTTTTTCTTCCACTCATTCTTTCCACTTGTCCATCAGCTCTGAGCAGCTTCAGTGTCTCTGCTGAAGAAAATGATTCCCACAGCATGCTGCCGCCACCGAAGGTGGTTTCTGATATGGGTGACATGAGCAACCACCCAGGGTACCATTTCATCAGGGGGCGGCAAGTAGCTCCTCCTACCTTCTGGTCCTCCGCCACTCTGAAATACATCCTGATATTATATCCCTTACATGGCTTATGATAATTTAGAAATGCAAATTCTTAAGAGTTTCTTTCAATAAAAGCTATTTCCTTGGCACTTTTGCATAAAGAGCTTAGAATTAGTATAACTCTTTCAGTTCAGAATCATGCACCACTCCAGTAAAGTGCATTAAGGTTTGTTGTAATGTGATAACATTTTAAAACGTTTTTTTATTTTTATTTTGTACTTTTGTAAGGCTCTACATAAGCTGCGAACAGGACTAAGTCGCAAGCATCAGACTATCAGATAAGGTCAATGGAGGATAGCTGGAGCTGTGATTAAACGCAGCAACCAGATTTATGAATGAAGCTGCAAATTTACACACACACACACACACCCACACACACACACACACGCACACACACACACGCATCTCCTTAGTTGACAAGATTTGACAAGCAGCCAAAAATAGAGAGTAGAGCTCAGTGGCCGTCGGCAAAAGTATATTCTATCTGACTTACACACAAAATACTCTCTTACGCACACGCACGCACCTACACTCACGCACACACATCTCTGCAGTCCTTCTGTCACCCCGCCCGTCTCGGGCTTTGGCGGAGTCCATATGTGAGTCATCGGCGGACTTTAACTGTGTCTGTTGCTCTGCGCTGCAGCAGAGACACAACATCAGTCAATGACAGCATAACGCCAAGGCCTCTGCTACACAAACACTGAGATGCCATAACTACAATCAGTTTGTTCAGATTTAAAAGTAAAAACACCGGAACAGTTCCTTGTAAGCTTTCACTAACTCTTTAATATTCTCACCTCTGCATCAAATATAGCAACAGGAGTTCAATTCTCTTTTAACTTTAGCGCTTCTAAAAAAAAAAACTGCGTTGTAACTCTCACCTTCAAAGAGACATTTAGTTCTAAATATAGTCCTGTTATAATTCATTTCATTATGAGTTGCGACAGGAGAGGTGGCGGCTGTATGAACGAAACTCTTCTCACACCAGAGAGAGCGAGCTAGGCTTGGTTTGGCTGACTCAAGCGAACAGCGCGCGTGCGTCGGGGGGTGCCTTTTGTGTAAATGCACTCGCGGGCGCGCACACATAAAAAAAACACAAATAAGAGAGAGAGAGAGTTGCGTATCTAGTGACGCACGAGTCAGGTGACACCTCTAATAGCACGAGGAGCTGTCCGCGGTGCTGAAACTAGACTCCAAGCGCGAGGCTGAGAGATGCTCAACTCACTCACGAGCCTCGACACAAACTAAGAACACAAGGTAGGTCCGGTTGTTATTTAATAACGTCACAGCCAGCTCTGGTCTACGCTAAATACTCTAAATGTTAATGTTATTCTTAAGTTAAATATGTGCTCATTTATTCCGTTTCATGATAAGAAAAATTAATAAATAAATGAAATATTACACTGCGAGCGCTGTTTTCCAACCTGAGGCTCCGCCACACACGCTCGGAGGAGGAGGTTATGTTGTTGTCGCACGCAGGAAGCTGTTCTTCTCGCGGCCCATTTAGATAATTTTATATGCAAATGTTGCGCTCTATCGACTGAAAGCTGACTATTAAACAAAAAATATGTTTAATTAAAAAAGGGGGAAAAAAGGCTTTCCTGTAAGTTTAGTGCGGTAGTGTAAAAAAAAAAATCAAAGAATAAAATTAGGAAACAAGTATAACAAAAACTGCTAAAGACTGTTTAAAATAAATAAATTAGTAGTAGTAGTAATAATAATAATAATAAATAATAATAATAATAATAATAATAGTGTATGTGAAGTTCAGGACACTTTATCTTGGTTAAGAAGATAAAGTGGAAGAGTTGTTTTCATGGTGGATTGAAAACAACTACAACTGGATGTTGGGAGGTTGATCCAGGGTGAAGGAGAGGTTTCATAGGAACATCAGTCTTTACCGGGTTCCCTTGACAACGGCGACGTGACTCCCGGAGAGCAGCAAGTTGACGGCTAATAGGATTTGTACGGGAGCTGAATACCGCCGCTGCTGCTACTGGAAACGAGGCGACTGCGTCCTAGTACGAGGCTCAAATGACACCAACAGGCGGGTTCTTACGGGTTCTGCCGTGATGCAGAAACATATTATTCACAAAACTATTGTTTTCAGTATAAATTTCTAGATTTATTAAATGGCGAAACAAAATAGTTTGACTAAAAAGGTTCCCATTTAAAAATCTAAATAAAAGATTCAAAAAAAGAAATGGCTTCAAAGTATATATTAATTTAATTATAATGATAATTTGTTGTAGGGAGAACACCTTTTTCAGTTTTTTCTTATGCAGTCAGTGGGAATAAACATTTTTAATCAACAATAATTAAAAAAAGACAACAGACCCCTGCCAGAGCAGTGCACCATGTGAACCTGGCGCTTGCTGTAATGCATAAAGGTCAGTGCTGACATGCGCTTGTTTATCTTCCTCCTGCAGACGTCACCATGCCGTCACTCCTTCAGACCTCACCACACAGGCCGTTCCTCATCTATTTAGCCAGCCCGCTCTTGATCTCCCTCTTCCTCACTTTCACTGGTGTCATCGGGGCCTCGATCCGTGACCACAGGCTACGGGGAAGCGAACCTGACTCACAGGAAGGAGATGTGCTCCAGGCACCTGACACAGATATGCTGAAAGCGTTGGAGTACATTGAAAGTCTCCACCAAAGAGCTCCCCACGCTGCAGAGCGTGATATCAGCCATATGGATGATGCTGAGAAGCTGCGTGCCATCCTGAGACTGGCTTCCAACCCCACACAGAGCCAAGACGAGCAGGAAGAGCAGGAGGATGAGAGAAGGAAGGATAAGAGCGAAGAGTTGCTCCAGGCTGTGCTAAGCACTCTAGAGCAGACGAAGAAAGCTGCCAGGCCAGCTCTGCTCCGCCCAGGTCCAGAGGGAATGGACGCGAGTTATCCCAGAATGCCACAGAAAGAAAAAGGTGTCACACCTCACAAGAAGCTGCCTTTGTTGTTTGAGGATGAGGAAGAAGGTGAGGGTGGCGAGGAAGAGGACGGAGAAGGTCCCAGACGTGAGAGTCCCTTCAAACGCACCAAAGAGAACGTGGAAGAGAAGTACACGCCTCAGAACTTGGCCACGCTGCAGTCCGTGTTTGACGAGCTGGACAAGCTGACAGGCGCAAAGATCCTGCAGAAGCGACAAGACAAAGGCGATGACATGGGAGAAGACGAAGCAGAAGAAGACGAAGATGTGTTCAACGTGAGGCATGCAGCATACGATGACGGAGACAGAGATCTCACAGACTGGGGTCCACTGGATGGACAGGATGAAGAGGAGGAAGAGGAGGAAGAAGAGGAGACGGACGGTAACCATGAGGTTGACCGAGGGTTTGATTACACTGATGACAATGACGAAGAAGCTGAAGAGGATGATGAAGATGAAGGCGAAGACAGCTTTGCAGTGAAAAGATCGAGTGATGCGGACGATGTGGCCAACTTGGTGGACTATTACCTCCTGAAGGTGCTTGAAAAAACAGAGGAAGAGGAGCAAAAACGAGAACTAGCCCAGGAAGAGGGCGGGAGGACAGAGAGGAGGCTGCCTCAGAATCAGTACCAAGACAATATCGACCCACGAGTCATCTATCAGCTCCTCACCATCTCCCAAAAGTACCAGATCCCACCCGAAGACCTGATGGACTTGCTCAGACCCGGAAACCGAATGAACCAAGGCAAACTGAGAAAAAGTAATCAGTTACCGCGAGCAGAGAGCAGGTTTTCTTTCAAGAAAGCAACTCCTGCAGCTAAATTCTACAACATACGCCCATCATCTTATGTGAGAAAGACCCCAGAGGAGCTGAGAACAGAGGAGATCCTCAAAATACTGGGCATGGGTGGCGAGGAGGAGCCAGCTCCTGCCAGGAAGCAGAGGCAGCACAAGAGCTCCCTGTCACAACTTCACACTCAGCCTGCCGGGCGTCTGAGGGAATCCGCTCCCACGCAACGGCGCCTTCCCAACACATTCAGAGATGACTACGACGACACGGTGGACGAGGATGAGCTGGCAGCTTATTTAGCAGCTCAGATGCTGGCACGGTATCCCAAACCTGCTTTTAGCAACAACAAGGCCACCCAAAAAAGAGAAGAAGTCAGACAGAGCACGACGGGCTCCTTAGAAAAGGCCATCGAGGAATACTTTGACCTGATGGACACGGAGAAAAGCCCAAAAGAAAAGAGACAGTCAGAAGATGCAGAGAGGGACGGAGAGACACAAAGTCAGAGCGCGGAGAACGAAGCTGTGATGAAAGTGCTGAGTTACCTGAACCCAGAGACAGAAGAAAGTGAAGACAAAACTGCAAAAGGAATATAATCATAGGGGGTTGATACAGATTCATATTTAAATATATATTGTTTAGGTGACGGTGGGGGAGGCGAAAATAAAGTATTTTGAAGAATAAAACACACACAACTTACACTGCTCTGTAGATTTTTAAAAAAGTTCTTATTTATTGGTAAAAATCAGTGTTCAGACTTTCATTTGATGTTTTGCTGAATACAAATTTGTTGCTCGGCGATACATGCAGTAAATGTTTCACCAGCCTTAAGTGTTCCACACACACACCCACCAACACACACACACACACATACAGAGACAGTCACAGCCAGTGTTCAACTCCTTAGATTCCTGTGTGTTTTTTGTAATTCTTTCTTAATTGTGGTCATATGTGACATTCCTGAGGTTAATAAAGCATTGACTTTATTTTTTCCTTACTGTGTTGTGTTTCTCCATTTACTCACCGACACACAGCACACACACCTGAACAGTAAATCCTTCTAAGAACCCTGAGATGAATAAAAAGGAGTCTTCAGGGTCACACTACTAACACATTTTCACCAACATCCTCATCCTCTCTTGGCTCAGTAGGCAGGTTTGCTCATATATTCCTCCATTGTCTGTGGATGCAGAACAAATGCTTTTGAGATGCAACAATGAAAGCAATATGATATGTTGTGGTAAAGGTTATAATACCTCTTGTAGCGTGTCAGCCTGCTCCATAGACACATTCACTGCAAATTTGGACGTTTCTAAAACCTCTCCTCCCATCAGGAATTCATCCAGGATGAAGTAGGCCTTCTCAAAGTTGAAGATGATGTCCAACTCACACACCTAAGGTGACAAATATTTCGGTCTGAGGATCCTCTAGTGGAAGTTTGCGACTTTAACAATCCGGTAATGGAAGCAGGAGCATGAAAGATAAAGTCAGTGTTTCAAAACGAAACAGAAAATATACATTGAGTTTAAAAAGTGATTTGCCCCTTGGATGTTTTCATTGCTTTTACAAATAAGTAATTATCTACATGATTTGTCTTTTTTTTTTTTTGAAAAAAACTTATTTAATGTCAAAGGGAACACACATTCAAGAAACACAACTTGGTCAAAAGCAACACCTAAATTCCTTAAGTTTGGCTTGATGGCAGCGTTTTAATGATAGAGCTGTTGCCTCATCAGACTCTTGGTCTTCTCAGAGTTCACGTAAAAGGACTTTTCTTTTCTCCACAAGTTTGTAATTTCTTTAGTTGAACTCAAGTAATCTAGACAATTTAATCCATTTCTCTTTGTGTTTTGCTGCGGATTAAAATGTGCAGTGTTCCCTCCTGTGTATGAACAAAAATCCTACTGGAAGAATTTTGAACTTCACGTGATTCAAAGCAGAGCTGCAACTTAAGCCTTCCCAGCAGAGTAACTCACAACCCCCTGTGTGAAAGGACAACTTACATTACCAAAGTATTTATCCAGCAGCTCAACATATCGATGCAGCACCTCCAAAGCAAGAAGTTCATTATCCTGCTCCTCCAGACCAGCACAGAAATACAGGCTGGCATATCTGCAATCAGAAACAAGAAAGGACCAAAGCATTCAAAAGGTGCTAAAAAGATAAAACAATACAAACATAAAGTATCAGGGTTTTGTAGGAGTGTTTTGTCTGTTGAATATAAAGCCAGTATATGTCATGTCGTGTCTTGTGCTGCCACCTTTTGTAAACAATCTTTAGGTCCTTCCATCGGAGGAAGTTGCAGGTCCGAGGCTGACGGGGCAGCACCAGCATTATCATGTCACGGATCACCTTCTTCCTCTCCCGGTCTGATGTCGGCACGAACCATTTCTGCAGTCGGAGTTTTCCCTGGCGATTGAACAGCAACAGGAAACGCAACTGGAAAAAGGTGCAAGGAGCAGAGGAGGAATCGGAGCAGAGGAGGAATCGGAGCAGAGGAGGAGTTTGGTTTATTGAATGGTGTAAACTTATGCAAGTACACATTAAAAAACTGTTGGATTACTTCTTTAGCCCAAAGGCAGGACATTTGCTTTTGGGACATAAGTTTGATCAAACGCCAGGTTAGAGTTTGTGACCCAGTTTGTTTGGTTCAACCAAAAAAAAAAAAAAACATTTTAGCATGTGCAGTATGTAATAAAACCAAAGTATGTACCAAACTGTGATTTGTAGCATTGTGTAAAAGTGCCAAAGTCTATTTTACTATTATTTTATGTCATTTAAAGTCTCACTAATGAGATGCTAGAGACAGTGAACCACTTACCAGAGTTTTCTCTGGGTGTCACAGAGTAACATAACTGACTTTCCTCCACCTGTTGCTGCACTCTGTCAATTACTTGATTGAAAAAACAAGATTGCAGGCTTTTGGCCTGTTTACAACAAACACAGTAAAGTTACTTTAGAAAATCCTGGCTTTTAAACTGGAGCGTTAAAAGGATGACGCAGTTTTAATGCCACAATTGATAAGTTACAGGAAAGTGGATAGATTTATAGCTGTTATTTGTGTTACATAGTTATTCCAGTTATGAGTTATTCTCTCCTTTTTTAACTCTTAATATAGAGATAAGTACTTGAACCCATTTTTCATGTTGAAGAACATGACCCGGAATGCTGGGTCAAATCCATAACCCGACCCTCTCAATTATATTTGACCCAATAACACAATAATTCAAAGAGGGCTGTTTTTACACAGCTGTGCTTAGAGTGCACTGCTGCATACAGTTTCAATGCAGCCTATATATAGATATATATATATATCTATATATAGGCTGGTTGCGTGTTGAGCATGTTGATGGTTGTTAAAGATGCCATCAACATGCTCACTTAAAGTCAAACATTCAGCAGTACTCTCGCTAGACACGGAAACCACAATCAGACAGCGTTTGCACAACCAGGTAGATAAAGGGAGGATCACCTGGGAAACAGCGCATGTAAATCACCTCTGAGTGCTATGGCACAGTAAATACAAGGCTTGGGTTGTGCAAGGGTAATTAATGAGAGCTTTGCCCCAGGGTGCAGCTGCAGGCTTAGTGCAACACAATAAACCTCAACATGTGGACATTAGCAATATCTTTACAGCAAACTCTTGATTTTAAAATGACGCTGACATTTGTAAGCTACTGGTTATGCAAATATCTGAGGACTGACGATTATTTAATATTTATTTGCCAGGAGGAAATATTGCACTTCGAAGGAAATAAATGTTTTTTTTTGTTTGTGCGTTTGTTAGTTTGTTTAAAGTCAAATTTAGTAAGGTTTTCCTATGACATGACTTCAATTCATAAATCACAAAGTAAAGTAACCTCCATCGACATATAGTTTTTACTTCTCAAACAGCAATCAACACAAATTTAAGCTATATGACATACTTATACAAACGAAGAAATAGAAACAAAGTTTCCTGATACTCACCATTTGATAAAACAGCTATAAATCTACGAAACCGTACACTTCTGTACATGCGCACTCAGTGCGTTGAGGAACTGTTCGTCTTTTCATAAATCAAAGGGTGCACACCTTGTCCAGTCACAGCCGCACCCAGCTGCGCTCCAGCGGCTGATTGGCTGCCGGCTGATTGGGTCCGCACCATTTACACGCCGGCACACCGAGTGGACGGAGTGTGCGAATCACAGTTGATTACATGCAGGGGATGAAATCTAACGGATAAACTATGTTAATTTTCTGAATGTCATTAAAATCTCCACACATTTCGTTCATGTTGCAACTGTTTTAAAGTGTAATTTTACCAACGTTCTCGACGACGGCAACCAGGAGTGGAGTGGAAGGAGTTTCTATCTATCTATCTATCTATCTATCTATCTATCTATCTATCTATCTATCTATCTATCTATCTATCTATCTATCTATCTATCTATCTATCTATAATAAATAAAAACTAATTATTTGAATTTTAATTACCCCATTCCCCATATTGAGATACACTGTGAGCATATTGTAATT